ACATGTATAGCAAGAATGCGCCAACTGCAATTTATGTTGAAATCTTTTGATGGGCTGATGGAATTCAAGTACATTTTAGCGTGATTGAGATGTAGAACAGTTTGATATTTTCATAAAAATTCAATAGATTTTAACCATGCTACCATACTAAAAATTGAAGTCGGACCAATTAAAATACACGTCTACTGTAGTTCCATTGAATAAACTCATTATCTTTATATTTTTCAGATACGTCAGATAAAAGTAAGGAATCTACCGAAATGAAATGGGGTACTCCAACTGGGCTAATGAAGACGGGCATATGCCATACAGTGTGCTATAATAAATAAGGGAAATTTTGCCCTGACAGCAGTGCTACAGCCTACTCATACATGTATATCGAATTACAACTGGAAAGGGATCTTTCACATGCCTGCCAATGTGTACACATGACCTAGATTTTTTGTACCATATAAACAACTAATGTACATGTATACGTTGTCCCTTGCCAGGCCCTCTATCCTGCACCACTAATAAGGGGGAACCACACCGGAAAATCCAGAGGAACTTTCTCGGCCAAGACCAAGACCGAACATGGGACCTCCAGATTGGCGAGTCAACGTTTTACTCACTGAGACAACACGGCTCCCATAGAGTCATCTAAGTTACACTAGGGACCGGGTATCATTCAGATTGGATGAAAAAAGGAAAGAAACTGAGCTTACCATCTATAATCTAATACACATATTCAGTTAATAGATTGCCATGCAGAAAGTATTAAAATTTAATACCATCAAGATTCATCAAATAACGCCCAGTTTGTGCTACTGTTTAGTTTAAGAAACACCATTTAGTTTTGACATCGGTCATCTAGTTTATGACCATTTAGTTTAGTTTTGATATTGGTCATCCAGTTTATGACCATTTAGTTTCATAAACTAGACAACCGATGTCAAACTAAACGGTAGCACAAACTGGGCGGTTTTTGATGAATCTTGATGGTACATGTATTTAACACTTTCTGCATGGCAATCTATTAACTGAATTACAGTATATGTGTATTAGATTATAGATGGTAAGCTCAGTTTTTTTCCTTTTTTCATCCAATCTGAATGATACCCGGTCCCTAGTGTTACATTTGTACCCCTCAATAACTGTAACACTGTCAAAGACAATTTCCTGACTATATCAATACACATATCTGCAGTTACACAGGTTAATCACTACATGTGTATTATATATTTTTTAAAAAGATAACCCTAATATAGAAATATGCATCAATCAAACCTGATTAGCAAGAATGACAGAAATTTTGTAATTGTGATTATCTCGGGCAGCTATCTGATATGAACTAAATATAAATCTGTAAACAATCCCTACTTGATCAGATGAGCTAACGTAATATTCGTTTAATATCAAATCTTTGTTTAAAAATTCGTAAAAATCATTTAAAATCACCAAAAATCATCTAATTTAAAACTGACCATTCAATTGTGATAATTAGTGTCCAATTTACAAGATTTTAATTTCTCAATCTCTGTTAAAAAATAAACAACCCAATTGATTATTGATGTACAATGATTAATTTTTGAACAGTGGTCAGCAAATTAAATACTTGTAATTTGGACACTCATTATCAAAATTAATCAGTCAGCTTTAAACTGGACACAAGTACAAACTAGATGATTCGGGGTGATTTTAAATAATTTTTACGAATTTTTAAACAGAGATTTGATATTAAACGAATGTGAAAGAAATTAGTGCTAGATACAAATGTACATGTACACAAAATTAAATGATACCCGGGTTACAGTGATAGTTAGATTGGCTTGTCTAATACTTGTATAGTCATTGTAAACGCTACACTGGTGATATTAGTGCTAGATACACAAGATTAAATGATACCCTGGTTACAGTGTATTCTAATCACTGATTCTGATGTTGATCGGTCAGACGTTATACATGTAATTAATCAATTACGCATGCACATATGGTAAAAGCAGCTGTCATTTTACCTCAGATGATGATGAACAATGGATGCGAGAAGATAGATAACCTGTTTAGCTGCTAGCTTAACTTTTAGACTTCATTGAAGAAAATGAATATTAGCAGGTTTGTATTCAGATGGCAAAATTAAGCTAGCTTATGACTGGCTGGTGTTTTTAAAGCCAACTTAAAACAGCCAGTAGAGTTCAGTCAAAGAATTGGTCATCATACCAAACTTGCACTGATGTCAAATAAACGGAGAGACACTTGTATAAAGTCATGGATCGTCATTTGTATCAATATTGCGATATCGAAAGAAACCGAGATCTTTGGGTTATAAATACACATTACAAGTTTCATCAAAATCAAATAAAAATTGCAACTTCTAAAGGGTCCAGAAACCTTGGTATTACATGTACATACTTTTAGACTATTTGCGTACAAGGAGCGGCCATTTTGTCCGACATTTTTGGTCAGATTTTTACTAATTTGAGATCAACCTTCACTGGGATTTAACGATTACATATTTAAATGTTTTTTAAAATTGATTACAAATTGTCACTTCTAAGAGTGTTCACAAGCTAAAAAAGTGATTTTTTGTACAATCAGGGGCCATAATCCATGAAATTACGCTCCAATACATACCAATTTCGAAAGGAACCGAGATCTTTGGGAGAAACACCTATACATGTATTTCAAGTTTCGTAAAAATCGGACAACAATTGTGACCTGTAGAGTTTGAACAAACAAATTGTGAAAGGGCAGACAGACACATGGATGCACATACACAGACTGACGGGGCCGACGACAATATACATGTACGTCCATATGAAAATGTGGGCATATAAAAAGTCTGAATTAACAATATTCACCTAAACCGAGACTAAGATCAGTTGTGTAGGCTTACACAGCTTACATGTATATTAATTTTATATTCAGTAAATTGTAGCTGTAGACACATACATGTGCAGTATGTAACATGGGAGTTGCAGTTTGTATTCAGTAAATTTTAGCTACATGTATGTACATGTACATGTAATAAGCTTATAGGAATTGCAGTAAATTTTGACTATGTAACAAAAGAGTTGTAGTTTATATTCAGTATAAGTTAGCTACACGTAAGTAACAGGAATTGCAGTTTATATTCAGTAAATTTCAGCTATGTAACATGGGAATTGCAGTATATATTCAGTAAATTTTAGCTATTTAACATGGGAATTGCTATGTAAATTCCTATATAAACGCATGGTGAGATAAATATAGAACCTGGAAATAAGAAATAATTCAGTCCAGTGATTATTTGACAAAATAAAACAATAAATTAAAGAACATAACCTACATAAGATTTTTCAGGATTTTCTGACGGCCAAGTAAGATATTTATTTTTTATTTTCAAGGGATGCCCATCATGGACTTGCCCATTTACATGTATCAAAATAATAGGTTAAATTTAAACTAACTTCAGCCTAGTCATAGTAACAAAGGAGTGAAATCTGAATAAAATTTAAGTTTTTTTTAATAATTTTAAGCGCATTACTTCACACAAGATCGACTGTATAAATTTGCTACTTAACTATGAATCAATGGATTTATAATTAAGCCCCTTACATCGCAGACAGATTTCTTCCCTCATTTAGATGAACTCCAATTATTTTTTTATTTCTGTAGTCTTGTAACATTCAAGGATATAAAAAACATCCGGAGTATAATTGAGTTCCATGGAAAGCCTGACTGTAGTGTATGATGGATGGGAATTGTGTGTGTTAGTTTTCATCAAGTCTACGATGTTAATGTGCTCTGGTTTGAGTGTCAAAACCTAGCTGGAGGTTAAATTATCAATTGCAAAAAACAATATATACATGTAGTATCATTCTGTTTTCCTGTGAATATAAGCTTGTGTTCATCTAGATTTTACTCAAACTAAGATTTTTCAAATCTCAAAAAAAAAAAAAAAATCCCAAAACAATATCAAGTAACAGAAAGAAAAGTATCACACTAGGATCCTAGGCAACGAAACATAGACAGGGCCATAGATCCCCTAATAGTAATACGCCCACCAGCAGCAATGTCATCCATGCAAACTTTAAATCATCATAAACAGTCAATATGTGTGTGAATGGAAAGATAAAAGTTTTAGATGTTATATAGGGATCGTCCTAAACCCTAATGAACAGTCTCACCAAGATTTGAACTGTGGGCTGTATGGATTTCACAAAATTTCATAAATTTGAATGTAAACAGGGGAATAACTCCACGATATGTGATCCAAAAATCTGAATTTCGATTTAGTTCTTCCGCATAAGCCAAAAACCAATCCCTGCTAACTATCTGTAAAGATCTCTGACCTGTAGAATGATGAAAATGATATACAACCACAGTTAAAGATACATTATGGGAGATTAAACATGCATTATGCAAGAGCTAAATCTGCCTATTGCAGGTCTTTCTTTAGGCCTAAAATGTTTTCTAAAGTATTAATTAGACATTAATTAACTGATCCAGGCCTTAATCAACTCTCAATGGCATCAGATTTCTCCGATATTAAATAGATTAGAATGGTTCAGCGATACTTTGATTTAATCATTTTACATCATCTACTTTCGAACTATTATAGCAAGAATGGCTAGTTCTAAATCTTACATAATGTATCTTTAAATAAAGAGCTGGCAGTTCTCACTATAATAGTTAAAAACCAGATCATGTAAAGGGAATTCATCCACTTTGGGCCAAGATTTTAGCAAGTGAATTTTCGACCTAGCCTCGATCATCAGTACTAAAGTCGGTACGATAAGAAACATTGTCTTGATTATCCATTTCATGATTAAATCAAGAATAAAAATTGAGCAGCAAATCTGATCGTAATCTAATAAATATGGCAGGCTAGCGTTGACATCGAGAGTTGATTATGGTCTGGATAAGTTAATTAATGTCTAATTAATAATTTAGATAACATTTCAGGCCTAAAGAAAGACCTGCAATAGGCAGATTTAGCTCTTGCATAATGTATGTTTAAACGTTGGTGAATAAAAACTTACCAACATGTTTCACGGTTATAAAAAATGTTTGGTTAAATTTTGCTTCTGTTACATTTTTGGGTTCACAGCCATTCACTAAAGATGTGTTGCACTTAATCCAGTAGCACACTTGTTGGTGAAAAAACACGATGTCACAGTTATCTAGTGTTGTAAGACAACAACTATTCACACATGTCACCAAATCTTGTGCCGATTTCACTTTCAGGTATTTTCCTGCTTCTTTTCCGCCAGTAGGAATAGCACTGGGGTGAATATTACTATCAAAATTATCCCGATTACCATCACAAAAAGTTCCAGTACCATAACATTCTGTATGGGAAAAAAAGAAAATTGTTAAATAAGACCATAAAGAGAGAGAGAGAGGGAGAGAGAGAGAAGGGGGGGGTTTAAAGTCAACTAACACTAAGCCATATTGGGACAATTTTTTTTATTTCAATAATTCGCTTGTATGTAGAGATCTTTTGAAGTAGCAGGAGAGAAGAGAGAGAAATGGGGTTTAACGTCCACTTGACACAAACTGGGTCATTTTGAGACTAACACATGGTTCAATTTTATTTCAATAATTCGCTTGTGCGTAGGGGTGTTTAGCTGTGGGAGGAAACCGGAGGACCCAGAGAAAACCAAGAGGATAGACAGGTGACCCTACTCCTTGTCACGTACAACAGGGAAATCGAAACCACACCAGTTGACTCAATGATAGACCTTATGATACAGTGCGCACATGCTAACCATTTGGCCATCCAACCCCCCTCGAAGTAGAAGGAAACTACAAACCCATGACTTGCATAGATAATAGGCCTTATCTACTGTTAATGCATTAAAACATTTGAACGCACATCACAGCAAAACAGCTTATTACATGTAAGTGAGCACCATCATCGTGCATCCATGGCTTCTATTTTTTTGTCTTTACTTAAGGATGGTTACATCTGACATCAAAACTTAACCTCCAGGGGTCAATTTAAAAATAGTTAGTGCCAATCTCGTCTCCCATTTCACTTTCAATATATGACTTGGGTGTGAAAGTTGGGGTTGTCAGGCAAGGAAACATATGCCCTGTCATTCGAGCAACCAACAAAGTTTATCACATTGTGAATCTTTCATCTTTTAGATACAAAGCAATACACGTATATAATTAAATTCATATAAATTTCAAGCAGATCAGATGATCACATTTTATTAAATTCAGAAATGTAAGCAAGGACAAAAACTCTTGAAATTCAATAAAATGGATATAAATTCAGCCAAAGGCACAAACATCCTCTAAGAATCAATTTAAGAATTTCACATTACATGTTTACATTAAGCTTACCTGATATTAAAAGTGCTGACATTACAAAAAATAATCCGATCTTTCTATCTTCCATCTTAGAAATAAACATCCTGATTTGGCTATTTCAAGCAACTTTCATACATAAAATTCTTTAGGTAGTTCCAAGTATTCAGTGATTGATACAAAGATTAGGTCTGCTAAATTCACAAGTCAGCCATATTGTAATTATGTTGTAGCCCATTTCAAATACATCATGCAGAAATACAGTTGTTGTTTTTTTTCTTTCTTCGAATATTTACATCACATATAACTCCATTTTCTCTCAATATTTTCCTTTCATGTCTGAAATATAAATTTGAATAAAATCAATATTGTTTTAAACAATGACCATTGTACATGGTATAGTCAAAATATGCTTAACAAGTATTAAAAATAATAGCGCTATAAAATTATAAAAATATTCAATTTCCATTTAACTTCACATCAAAATGTAGGCTACATTCAATACATAACTTCCAGAATCTACGTATATAAATCATATAATGTTCAGCTCACGAACCAAAACATTGATAATTTTGTCGCCAAAATTACTGTGCATAAAATAAATCATTTAAACAAAATATGAATATAAAGATATATTTCCTCAAGCATAAGATTGCGTCCTGTGCTTGCTAGTCTTGAGATATTTTTTGCTAGGATATTTGTAATGACCAGAAAATAGGATTTAATAAAGTCAAACTGTTTAATGATTCTGATAAATAGCGCCATAGTGCAACAAAATATTGAATTATAGGCGCTCTATAAAAAAATCATTATTATCATTAAAGGCTCAATACCACTCTTGTTGTAAATGAATAATATGTCCCAATCTTTATTCTGGTCAACAAATTGTACTATTTTACAATATTCCAATTAATTGATGATACAAATTTCATCTTAACACACCTAATTTAACAAATTGGAAAAATTCAACTAAATGATTTGAAAAGCCTGACGTAAAGCTTTTCGAATGTGACTTGGATTTAAAAATATTTTTGAACCCTCTGGACAAGTAAAATAGGATTTAATGGATAATTTACACAACAGGTAAGACACTAACACATCTAGTACTTAGAATAAGGCTATTTTTTTATTTTCTGGAGTTCAAGCCAGCAAGAGTGTTATTGTCCCTTTAAATTATTAGTTTATTGTTAAAAAATGGAATGGAACAATACTTGTCATTTTGAGACTGATATATAGTATATATTTCATTTCATGATTATGTGTACAGTGCAATGTGAGAAGAATTTTGCCCACAGCATATCCGCCTTCTCTTATTCAAATTCTGACTGCCTTGTTGTACGTGTCATGCGTACGGCTGTATGCCAATGTGTACTTCGTTTTTTCATTACATCTGAATAACTAAGCACCTCTGACAATTGAGAACCAATCTTGAGAAAGCCTGATGGTTCTGCTAGTTTTAGGCCCACGCTGGGATCAGAACACATGAATATCTAGTCAATGGCCCAGTGCCCTAACACTGTTGTGCCTTAAAAGGGTATTGACTATGTCTTTACCCTATCAATGTGCCTTCATTCCTCACACATTGCCCATAATGCTCATTCACTGCCTGTCAAGCACAAATGTACAATAGTCCACATAATGACAGCTACGTTAAAATATGCAGATTATCTAGAAGTATCTCGAAAGATATACTGTTCTGTTGATTTTTTTTCTTGGTGGTATTTCCAATCTAGACCAGCGTTTTCTCAAAATTTTTTGCTAAATTGACTGAAGTTGTACATTTGTATTGACCTAATGCTGATAATCATATAGGTTGTAAACTTTTATTAGACTGCAATCTGTTGTATCAATCCTGGGCCAATATATCAACAAATTTACTGCATACATGTAAATAGTGATGAACAACAATGTAGGTTATACATACTTTCTAGAACACCTGATATCACATCTCATTTGAAGAGTTCATAAACAAAAGTTTTGTATTTTTCTTAATGCTGGTATACTGTGAAAATATTATAGCCCTTAGTAGAACTACTTCATGGTCGAGATATCACACTTAAAAAATAACAGTGATTCAGGTTCCTTGTCACGAAAAAAAGCATAAAAAAACTCAATACATTTATTTCTAGTTTTTAGAATACATTCTGTAATAATACTATTAATAGTCTCCTCCGAAGATTTTAAACACAATGTTAGAGAAATTTGATTCTTTCAATTAACAAAAATTTGAAGTCATACATGTGTACATGTGTGAGACATGATGTCTGTTTCTGCCAATAATAAGTACACTGTACATCATAACATGCCACACTTTTAATGTTTCAATCCATTAAGAATCTAAAGCATATTAATCATTATACAGAATATCACTTTTGTCAAGTAATTAGTAGATTTATCATGATTTACCATACAAGCAGCAGGCTTGCAAATAAGCCATCTGTCACTGAAAATTTGGCTTTGTATAAATTCTGTATAAATGTAGCTTTCTTCTGCATTCATCTATATCTAAAGATGCATTATATTAGACCTATAGCAGGACTTTTTCCTGGCTACAAATCCTATATTAAAATTATTATTTAGATATTTAGTCACATGACAAGATAATCATCTCTGTAGACAATTGGATGGCCAAGATTTAAATGGATTGGTATACCAGCAAGATTTTCAAATTTAAGGATAAAATAAACAATCAACGCTACATCTTCAAGCGGTCATAAATTTACCCCCTGGAGAATAAATTAACTTCAATATATATATATTTTGCAACCATTAAATAGCAAGAGTTCTTGTTATAATAGTTCAAAAATAGATAATGAAAAATTTAATGTATTATCTAAAACTTACATAATTTAATGCATCTTTAATATTTTATATAATCCAAGCCTGAACAAGGTTAAAAGTGTCTGCCATTTTGTTTTAAACCCACGCTACATATGTATCACTTACTACATGTCACAGAACTATTGTATATTTCATCTTACATGTATCTATTATTGGAGCGTTGTGTGGATGTATTGCAGTATACATTTTTTTCATTTTAATTCTATTACAATGATTTAAAGGAGGCAAGTCGCTAGCTCAATATCATTCACATGCAGTCTTTGACATTGCAAACACGACTTCTTGGTCAATTCAAATCAACATTGATGTTGTTATCTTACCGTGAAAAGTTGGGCTTCTGATATCCAATAAGACAAGAATCGTGTGCCAGAATGCTTTCCAGCACCATTTGTATGAAGTGATCCGATGAATGAGGCTAAACATTTCCCATGTAGAAGAATACCACCGGTGTAGACTGGAATAACCAGATGGTCAATTTATTTTGGCTATGCATGTTGATGATACATAACATATGTATATTTATTTTGAGTATACAATACAAGTAGACGATATATTTAGCCTTGAAGGAATCTCTTTATTTTCGGGATGCAATACAAGTAGATCATCTATTTATCTTTGAGGGAATACCTCTTTTTTGTTTATAAAATAACTGCAGGAGAGTTCAAGCTAAATGTTTGGACACAAGATAGTGTTTTATTTTCTTGTTGCAAAAACTTGTGTTTGACTAAATTGATGTCAGGTCTCACCATGTCCTGGTACAACTCTTGTCACGTTGCATTACACGTCTGACCGTTGCATTACATGTCTGACTTTAGTGTTCAAAGCGGTGGATGGTTGAGTTGCCAAACACTAACAAGTACTGGTATGATTTAGATCTTAAGGTAGACATCTACCAAACTACATGTATATGGGTTTTCTCTGAGTATCCATTTTACCCTCAAAAGTTAAAATCACCCATCCTGTTCATGGATTTTTCATATGATTTAATCCCCACTAAATGAAGTATTTAACATTTTAATTAAGAAAATAAAACCCAAAATATAAACAGTAGAGTATTGTGAAATTTCCATTTCATCGAACTTTTGTAGCTAATTTTGACTTATATTCCTTTTAGTGCCTCAACTTTCACAATATTGTCGTTTTCAAATGACAATAAAGAAATTTTAAAGACTCCTGTGTCCAGTCGAATTATAGAAATAAAGACATATACCATATAATTATTACTTTGTATTGAGTTCACATTTATTATTAACTCCCTTTTTCTCTATCTCCCTCTCTAACTGTAGGAACATGATAATGACCATGATTATGAAAACACAGATAAAATAGTTTCTATTTAATATTATAATCAGACTTGAAATAAAGCTGACATATATACATAAATGCAAACTTTCAGGCCTGCTTTATAAATATAATGAATGGTATCTCATTTAATATTCTCATCCTGGTTTGGGGGGGGGGGGCAATTTTCTGGAAGCCCTTCTAATTGGATTTTACAGAAGTTCAATTCTTCTGGACTCTGCTCTTACCTGTACTATAGCTTAAGTATTGAACAATGATCAGATTGATTTATAACAGTTTTCATATAAAATATTGATTTTTGTACACAATTGATAATAATAATATAGTATGTTTTGACACCTGTTATTACCTGGTGTGGGGCAGACTATAATTGTCGACATGGATGTTAAAGGAAGAGTATAAACTGGAAATTATGATATAGTGAAATTAAGCCCATAGCAGTTTAGTCATCCATGCTGTCTATAAATAAAGGTATATCACTCACATTGATATTTTTTTCTCTAACACTAACAGGATCATATACAACATATTCAAACGTGATCAAAGACAACCATGCAGTAATTTTAAAAATTTGATTGATTAGGTTTCTTCCCAACACTAACATGAACATGCAATAGTTATCAAAATGTTAACTTTACACGTCCATGTACGAGTTTCAGACCTTTTAAAGTGATCAAGGGTGTAACTCAGTAATTATTGTTTATTCCAATAGTGTTTTTTATCTCATTAACATCTATGGATTTTTCTCAAAGCAACTGCATTATAACTTGAGCCTCTAGCACACATAAAGCCACATCCAATCTCTGTATGTACTAGATTATTGCCACCTTCAAACTTACAATATTTGAAAACTTCATTCTTAGTTGGCAAACAAAATAATGTATGTTTGCAGTGAATTATATTATAATTATAGAATCCTAAACAATAGGCATTATTTGGAATACTGTAAGTACCAAAGATTAAACAGTTTAAAACCTTCATATGCATATTCATCTAGTACTCATTTGAGAACACCGAAAGTGTCAAAGATTTTAAAACTGTTATATTTTAACAATTAGTATGCATGATTAAGGTCTGATTAAATAATGACAATTATTCTGACTTGCATATAGACTTACAGTGTATTGCTGCTTTAATGAGTTATGACAAACATGTACTACATAAAACATGTCTGAATTGATTTATCCATATTCTCA